TCGGACGCCACCGACAAGTCGAAGGACAAGTAAAATCAAGCTAAATCTGTTCGAAATAAGTAGAAAAACGTAGTAAGCCGGCGTGTGACTGTGTAGCGTAGAAAATTGAAGTGACAGCTGTAAGGAATACAAAGCCAATGGATGTGATCGGTTAAAATGATATCGGTCACCAGATTATCATATTGCACAGGTGGTTGGGCAGCAACGGTAAGAGTAGAGCCTTACGATGTACTTCAAAGTACTGTAGACCTTGTTTGAGTAGTAGTAGTAGTAGTAGTCGCTGAAGGAATGACACTTTTATTGAGGTAGTAGTCGAAATCTTTGCTGATGTAGTAGTAGTTTGGTTGATTACTTTTACTGGAATAGTAGTAGTAGCTTTTGAAAAAGTAGATGTATTCGCGTAATCTTGCATTCTAATTTTAATATACTTCAAGTATACTTTTTCTAAACAACGATGTCTGCATAACTACAGTTTGCAGTCTATCACTTATTGTTGACCCGACTGATTCTCTCAACGCTTCTCTTTCATCGTCTTCTCGATCAATCACAGCGAACGAAGAAAGACAATACCACTACGAGAGGTTACCACGATGGCTGATGCAACATCGACACCCAGACCACAGCTAGATCGGGATCGTCGGCTCCTCGCTCTCTCACTTGTCATCTCGCTTCCCTTGATGACACTTGACAACCAGCCTTCAGCTCCATCATCTACTTTTGCAACTGCCCAACAAGATGCACTCCAAATTTCTCGCCATAGTGGGCCTGTGTGTCGCTGCTTCACCCTGCATGCAACTGACGCTGCTACTAGAATGAACCCGCGTCGTCAACTCGGGTCGTACAAGGACTACGACCACCACCAGCACAAGCACGACCACGACCACAAGAAACACTACCACCACGACAAGAAGGACCACCCGCACTACTACCGTCGTCGCCTCGAAGATAAGGATACCAAGGCTACCGATTATAAGGACACCAAGGCTACCGAGTCTTCCGACTACAGCTACGGCAAAGACGAGTATGGTCACGGGCACGACCACCACGGCTATGGTCATGATGACTATGGTCACGATGACTGTGGCCGCGATAGCTACGGCCACGATGATTATAAGCACAGCGACTACAAGCACAAAGGCTACGGATACGGTAGCGGCGACGACTACAAGGGCTATGGTAGCGCCTACAGCTACAGCTATAAGAGCTATGGAGGCGACTGCGATGATTACAACGGTCACGGCAACGACTACTACAATTCTGGCAAGGGTTACGGTAACGACTACTACCCGGATCACTACTCGTCATATGGTGGTGGCAACGGATACGGCTACTACCCCGACTACTACTCGTCGTACGATGGTGGGTATGGCAATGGAAATGGGTACTACCCGGACTACTACTCTTCTTACGGCTACCCCAGTTATGGCGGCTACGGCTACTCCAGCTACGGGTACCCGGGCTACTTTAGTTATGAGTCGGCCACAGCGAGTGTCGGTGCTACTGGTGGTGAGAAAGAATCTGCAACTGCGAATGGTCAGAAGGAGTCTGCGACTGTGGCCACGGATGCTGCCGACGTCAAGTCGGTCAAGAAGGAGAGCAAGACGGAGTCGAAGGCATCGAAGGAGACCAAGTCGGACGCCACCGACAAGTCGAAGGATAAGTAAAATCAAGCTGAATGCTCGAGAAAAAGTAGAAAAACGTAGTAAGCCGGCGTTTGACTGTGTAGCGTAGAAAATTGAAGTGACAGCTGTAAGGAATACAAAGCCAATGGATGTGATCGGTTAAAATGATATCGGTCACCAGATTATCATATTGCACAGGTGGTTGGGCAGCAACGGTAAGAGTAGAGCCTTACGATGTACTTCGAAGTACTGTGGACCTTGTTTGAGTACTACTAGTAGTAGTAGTAGTGGCTGAAGATATGAAACTTTTTTGAGGTAGTAGTCGAAATCTTTGCTGATGTAGTAGTCCTATGGTTGATTACTTTTACTGGAATAGTAGTAGTAGCTTTTGAAAAAGTAGATGTATTCGCGTAATCTTGCATTTTAATTTTAATATACTTCAAGTATACTTTTTCTAAACAACGATGTCTGCATAACTACAGTTTGCAGTCTATCACTTATTGTTGACCCGACTGATTCTCTCAACGCTTCTCTTTCATCGTCTTCTCGATCAATCACAGCGAACGAAGAAAGACAATACCACTACGAGAGGTGACCACGATGGCTGATGCAACATCGACACCCAGACCGCAGCTCGATCGAACTCCTCCTCGCTCTCTCACTTGTCATCTCGCTTCCTCCCTGACACTCGACAACCAACCTTCAGCTCCATCAACTACTTGTGCAACTGCCCAACAAGATGCACTCCAAATTTCTCCCTATAGTGGGCCTGTGTGTCGCTGCTTCAATCCTGCATGCAACTGACGCTGCTAACAGAATGAACCCGCGTCGTCAACTCGGGTCGTACAAGGACTACGACCACCACCAGCACAAGCACGACCACGACCACAAGAAACACCACCACCACGACAAGAAGGACCACCCGCACTACTACCGTCGCCGCCTGGAAGGTAAGGACACCAAGGCTGCCGATTATAAGGACACCAAGGCTACCGAGTCTTCCGACTACAGCTACGGCAAAGACGATTATGGTCACAACCACGACCACCACGGCTATGGTCATGATGACTATGGTCACGATGACTGTGGCCGCGATAGCTACGGCCACGATGATTATAAGCACAGCGACTACAAGCACAAAGGCTACGGATACGGTAGCGGCGACGACTACAAGGGCTATGGTAGCGCCTACAGCTACAGCTATAAGAGCTATGGAGGCGACTGCGATGATTACAACGGTCACGGCAACGACTACTACAATTCTGGCAAGGGTTACGGTAACGACTACTACCCGGATCACTACTCGTCATATGGTGGTGGCAACGGATACGGCTACTACCCCGACTACTACTCGTCGTACGATGGTGGGTATGGCAATGGAAATGGGTACTACCCGGACTACTACTCTTCTTACGCTACGGCTACTCCAGCTACGGGTACCCGGGCTACTTTAGTTATGAGTCGGCCACAGCGAGTGTCGGTGCTACTGGTGGCGAGAAAGAATCTGCAACTGCGAATGGTCAGAAGGAGTCTGCGACTGTGGCCACGGATGCTGCCGACGTCAAGTCGGTCAAGATGGAGAGCAAGACGGAGTCGAAGGCATCGAAGGAGACCAAGTCGGACGCCACCGACAAGTCGAAGGACAAGTAAAATCAAGCTGAATCTGTTCGAAATAAGTAGAAAAACGTAGTAAGCCGGCGTGTGACTGTGTAGCGTAGAAAATTGAAGTGACAGCTGTAAGGAATACAAAGCCAATGGATGTGATCGGTTAAAATGATATCGGTCACCAGATTATCATATTGCACAGGTGGTTGTGCAGCAATGGTAA